GCAAGAAAAGGCGATTCATCAATGTGAACAAAAGAGGATTCAACACTATGAACAAAAGATGATTTCACACTGTGAACAAATGATGATTCAACATTGTGAACAAACGGTGATTTAACACTTTGAACAAACGGTGATTTAACACTTTGAACAAACGGTGATTCAACACTTTGAACAAACCATGATTCAACACGGTCAACAAACCATGATTCAACACTATGAACAAACCATGATTCAACACTATGAACAAACCATGATTCAACACTATGAACAAACCATGATTCAACACTATGAACAAACCATGATTCAACACTATGAACAAACCATGATTCAACACTATGAACACACCATGATTCAACACTATGAACACACCATGATTCAACACTATGAACAAACCATGATTCAACACTATGAACAAACCATGATTCAACACTATGAACACACCATGATTCAACACTATGAACAAACCATGATTCAACACTATAAACACACCATGATTTAACACTATAAACAAACCATGATTCAACACTATAAACAAACCATGATTTAACACTATGAACAAACCATGATTTAACACTATAAACAAACCATGATTTAACACTATGAACAAACCATGATTTAACACTATGACAAACCATGTTTCAACACTATGAACAAACCATGATTCAACACTATGGACAACATGATCAACACTATGACAAACCATGTTTCAACACTATGAACAAACCATGATTCAACACTATGAACACACCATGATTTAACACTATGAACATACCATGATTCAACACTATGAACACACCATGATTATACACTATGAACATACCATGATTCAACACTATAAACATACTATGATTCAACACTATAAACACACCATGATTCAAACTATGAACAAAACATGATTCAACACTATAACAAACCATGATTCAACACTATGAACACACCATGATTCACACTATAAAACACACCATGATTCAAACACTATGAACAAACCATGATTCAACACTATGAACACACCATGATTCAACACTATGAACAAACCATGATTCAACACTATGAACAAACCATGATTCAACACTATGAACAAACCATGATTCAACACTATGAACAAACCATGATTCAACACTATAAACACACCATGATTGAACACTATGAACAAACCATGATTCAACACTATGAACAAACCATGATTTAACACTATGAACAAACCATGATTCAACACTATGAACAAACTATGATTCGACACTATGAACAAACCATGGTTCAACACTATGAACGAACCATGATTCAACACTGTGAACAAACCAATATTGAACACTATGAACAAACCATGATTCAACACTATGAACAAACCAAGATTGAACACTATGAACAAACCATGATTCAACACTATGAACAAACCATGATTCGACACTATGAAAAAACCATGATTCGACACTATGAACAAACCATGATTCAACACTATGAAAAAACCATGATTCAACACTATGAACAAACCATGATTCAACACTATGAACAAACCATGATTCAACACTATGAACAAACTATGATTCGACACTATGAACAAACCATGATTCAACACTATGAACGAACCATGGTTCAACACTATGAACGAACCATGATTCAACACTGTGAACAAACCAAGATTGAACACTATGAACAAACCATGATTCAACACTATAAACACACCATGATTTAACACTATAAACAAACCATGATTCAGCATTGTGAACAAACCATGATTCAACACTATAAACACAACATGATTCTACACTATGAACAAACCACGATTCAACACTATTAACAAACCACGATTCAACACTATGAACAAACCACGATTCAACACTATAAACAAACCATGATTCAGCATTGTGAACAAACGGTGATTCAACACTATGAACAAACCATGATTCAGCAACACCTGCAAATACCATGCATATAACTTGTGTGACTTTCTCCACAGGCTGTGCTTTTCCACATAATTGCATGTGTTAAAATAATTCTTGTCTATTCTTTCTATAGTCAGGGGGAGTGGTTAGTCGAACGGTTAAGAGCACAACGCTTTCATTCGGAATACCCGTGTTCGAATCCTCGGTAAGGTTAAGAATTGTTTTTTATTGGGGCCCAAAACTAACCTGCACAGTTTGTGGCCACAGCAACTAGCCATGCGACCTCATACCTCAGGCTCAAAGACCGCTTACACTGCAAAAATGATAATCTTCTTTTTCTTCCCGTTCCCCAGCTGTAAACTCTGGCGGAAAGTTCTGGTTATTTATCTACTTCTGGACTGCAGTCCTGTTCCAGAACCTGAGTGTTGCGTGTGCATCTGTTTTACAGATCTGACTCATGCAGACTGCTGGTTTCTTGCCTCTCAGGCAGATGCACTCTGACTTTGAAGAAAGCTCCTAATTAGTCGACTCTTACGACATGCATTTGGGTAGGCAGTAGGTCTATTATTGTTTTCCCTATAACAGGGCCCAGGAACCCACACGGGTGGGGGGGGGGGGGGGGGGGGGGTGGTAATTATAGGCAGTAATGAGAGGTTTTGTTGTGAGGTTTTTCCAGTAAAAGGTAATAAAAGGTGCCACTCCCCCACCCCCACCCTTTTTACACACCGTAAAGTATATTTTATAATAGATTAGCGAAACATTTTTTGAAAGTTGCAATGTTCTATAGACGAATGATGAAATTACCCTGGACAGATAAAAACAGTAATGAGGATGTCTTGAAAGAAACTGACTCACGAAGAGAACTGGCTGCCCACATCAGAAAGAGACAATCTAAATACGTTAGTCGTGTGATGAGAAGGAGAAAACTGGAGTAACTCGTGACAATAGGAAAGCTGGAGGGGAGGAGAGGCAGAGGGAGACCGAGAGAAAAGATGCTGGACAGTTTGACATCATGGCATGGAGGTTCATCTGTATCAGAGTTAAACAAAATGTCGCCAGACAGAAGGTTGTGGATAGACATGAATACCAACGCCACACGGGCATGGACTTTAGGAAAAAGAAAGTATATTTAGTATATGATGGCAATCTTTCAGACCAACTGGTACTCAGTAAGTGTTATAGTCAATACCACATTGGTTTTTTTTTTAAATTTCCCATGAAATTGTTTTGTACTTATTTAAGCCTCAATCTGCCTAGTTAGTGACAAAAACAAAGAACAGTAATATCAGCTGTGACCTCACACCACAAAGAATAGGACATAAAATAAAATAGCCAAGGAACCTTCTTTCATATGGCAGGCCTCTGGGCTTCTGAAAAAAAGATGAAGTTTGGAATTTTTGTTTATCAAAATGGAACTGGAATTTGAGTTAAGGTCAAAACACAGACAACGTACGGGCGGACAGACAGACAGACAGACAAATGGACATCAGACATACAGAGAAACAAACATACAAAACAATAGTCACCTGAAATGGGATTCGAACATTTCGCAACTGTGGCGACGGACAAGATACCAATCAATGGACCATAGCGGTTGTAATTCTGTTCCATATGACTATTATCTGAACTCATTTTCTAACGAAGAATGTTGTGCTTTGCAAATAAACTCCTTAAAAAAGACAGATCTAAAGTTGCAACGGTACTGAGTTAAACTCACTTAAAATGACCTTTGTGAAATCGGCTCACATTCTAAGACACGCGGAGTTTTCAGGTGATGTTTACCTTTCGTGTCACAATGTGGACTCGGCAATATTTATGCCCAAATGTCCGTGGCACTGTGAAACACACGACAGACACATCCTGGCTTTTCCAGATCAAACTGCTCGAGCACATGTTTGTTTTCGTGTCAGACACCACTAGCTGTGTTGTTTGAAATGTTTCAAAAGTAGGTGAAACAATTTGTGGACATTGGCGGGCGTTGTTTCAAGCTAACTTCGGTGTAGTACTTACTTCAGTTTCAAAACTATAGTCAGGGGCACCGGATTTGTGTGAGTGTGTGTGTCCCCAAACGCTGCAGACTATTTGACAACAGACCGTCTTGAGTTGATTTTGACAGCGGTATCAAGAGTCGACCGCGCAGAAAGCAATGGCAAACTCATTATCATAAATCAGCTGGTCTTTTACAGAACGTCGCTTTCTTCCCCTTCCACCGAACGGTCTCTTTTTGTCTGGCCAATTCTCTAGCCCTGGGTGCCTCGTATTCAGGAAACTGTACCCTCCATCACCGTTCTCTACAGACAATAGTGACCCTTGACATTTTCAAAACACTTTAGTTTTGGGGAGAGGATGTTGTTTACGAGCCAAATCTCCTCAATGCTGATCTCAAAAGGATGTTGACGTCTTTCCTCTTCTTGGTCCACCTCAAAAGAATGGTAAACTAATAAACATAAATTGCCTGGAAAAATTACAACAGCCACACACACACACACACGCGCGCGCACACAAACGCTGAGTGTGATTCTTCACAGCCCTATAAAGAGAACGCCACTAACGCTGGTTTAACTTGAGGTTCGCATGACACAATGTCGCTGAAAGACATGCTGACTAACATATAAACATTAATATGAACAAGCCTCCAAGATGTGTGTTTTCTGAAATGTCAGTTCCCTCTAGATGAACAACTCTCCGAGATGTTCATTTCTGAAATGTAGGTTCCCGTTAGATGAGCAACCCTCTGAGATATGTGTTTTCTGAAATGTAAGTTCCCACTAGATGAACAACCCTTCGAGATATGTGTTTTATGAAATTAAGTTCCCGCTAGATGAACAACTCTCCGAGATGTTCATTTCTGAAATGTAAGTTCCCGTTAGATGAGCAACCCTCCGAGATATGTGTTTTCTGAAATTAAGTTCCCGCTAGATGAACAACCCTGCGGGATGTGTGTTTTCTGAAATGTAAGTTTCCGCTAGATGAACGACTCTGCGAGATGTGTGTTTTCTGAAATGTAAGTTCCCGCTAGATGAAGAACCCTTCGAGACGTGTGTTTTCTGAAATGTAAGTTCCCGCTATGCGAGCCATTGTCTTCGCGTTGTCTTCGTCCACGGAAAAAGGGTCGTGATGACACGCGAAAGATTTGAATTATGTCCCCTTGTGTCACGATGGTGTTGTTTGCACTAGTACTAATCGCTTTCTTACTATTTGAACTCAACATCCCAAAGTTACTTTCGTATTTTTTTTTTAAAAACAAAGGTAATAACACAAAGATTCACGGACCTCACGCTTGCTTTCAGTTTAATCTTGTACGTTAACAAAAGCGTAGCTACAAACATTTCTTTTTTCTTAGTTCGTAACGAAGTGAATATGTTGATTTCCACAAAGGCAGACCTCACTATTTGACAAGATTATGAGTTTTATTTACTGAATCTATTACTACTTAACTAGTGTGAACATGTCTTTATTAAAATAAATAATAATTTGTGACTTCTATCGATTTCATATTCGTGCAGAGAAATTAGAAAGGAAAATATTGTTTCGTGTTCAATATTATTCTGAGTTTGACTTTTGTCTCACCCGCAGTGTTCAATTACTTAATTTATTATAAAGTTTTCTTTGGAGAGTATGTAGCGGGAGACTAAAAAAAATATGGATGTGAAAATTCTTACAACCTGCATGTTTATTTTTCTAGGTAACGTATTTCCATTACCTACAAAATTTTTTTATATAATTTAGAATATTTTTAAATTCCTCAAACCATCTTCATTTACATTCTAACGGTCCAGTCCGTAAATACTCATATTGCCTCCTCAGTGAAACATTATAACCGTCCCAATATGGGACGCACTTTTTTGGTATAATAAAACCCCACCCTGTTTGTGGTCAAGAGCCCAAATACAACCTAACGGTTGAACAGGGGTTTATGGGACGTGCACCAGGGAATTCTCATCTGAATGGTGGCACTTTGTGTCACTGTCTGTTTATCGTTCGCTATCTGGTCCTGATGGTGTTCAACGTCCCTAAGTCACTCACTCACTCACTCACTCACTCACTCACTCACTCACTCACTCACTCACTCACTCACTCACTCACTCACTCACTCACTCACTCACTCACTCACTCACTCACTCACTCACTCACTCACTCACTCACACTCACTCACTCACTCACTCACTCACTCACTCACTCACTCACTCACTCACTCACTCACTCACCCACTCACTCACTCACCCACTCACTCACTCACTCACTCACTCACTCACTCACTCACTCACTCACTCACCCACTCACTCACTCACTCACTCACCCACTCACTCACTCACTCACTCACTCACTCACTCAGTGAATTTCGAAATGTGTAGCGGCTGTCGACACCAGTTCTATGTTGGTTTATTATTATTGTTTGGCTGCCCGCATAAAGCTCTCGTATGTCCTCACCCATTTTCACTTGCTGCATTTTCAGTCTGGTCACAGTCTGAGATTCAGTCATCATTTGATTCAGACAAACGTCTTACTTCTTATAAAATTTAGTTCTGACTTCTCCCAGAGCATTCAGTTCTGATTTCTCCAAAAAAAAAAAACCATTCAGTTCTTAATTCTACCATAGCATTCAGTTGTTACCTCATCCAGAGCATTCAGTTCTTACTTCATCTAGCGCATTCAGTTGTTACTTCATCCAGAGCATTCAGTTGTTACTTCATCCAGAGCATTCAGTTCTTACTTCATCCAGAGCATTCAGTTGTTACTTCATCCAGAGCTTTCAGTTGTTACTTCATTCAGAGCATTCAACTGTTACTTCACACAGAGCATTCAGTTGATACTTGACCCAGAGCATTCAGCTGTTACTTCACCTAGAGCTTTCAGTTGTTACTTCACCCAGAGCATTCAGTTGTTACTTCATCCAGAGCATTCAGTTGTTACTTCATCCAGAGCATTCAGTTTTTACTTTAACTAGAGCATTCAGTTGTTACTTTACGCAGAGCATTCAGTTGTTACTTTACCCAGAGCATTCAGTTGTTACTTTACCCAGAGCATTCAGTTGTTACTTCTCCCAAAGCATTCAGTTGTTACTTCATCCAAAGCATTCAGTTGTACTTCATCCAGAGCATTCATTTCTGACTTTACCCAGAGCATTCAGTAGTGGCTTCTCCCAGAACATTCAGTATGGCAGCCTGGTCCATTGCTGGACCGGAGCAGCAATGTTTAGGGCACTGCACACGATTTCATAGAAGAAAAGAAAGAACATTTGGCACACAGTTTGCCTGAAAATTCAAATACAAGACGAAGTGATCGTTTTGCTTTTAATATCAATGTCACGAAAGAAAAATATAAATTAAAATCACCGTGGTATCCTCTCGAGAAGATGAAGTCGTAATTTCAATAGACTGTACATCAGACGAAACGAACTGTTATCATTGCCTTTTCATCCGGCCACTGACACGCTGCATCCGTGTTTGCCGTATACAGAGCTTTCTTAACAGCATTATGGACTACCCGGCCAACCCTGTGTGGTGGGACCCCAATGATAACTACTCGCAGAAATCACATTTTTTTAGCAAGCCACTTGACATACACAGGGCGGCTATATACAGGTCTGGTGCCCCAACGACAACAGTTTAAAGGAATCACATTTTTATTTATGGCAAGTCACTCGACATACACATAGCCCCTATATACGGTCTGGGGCCCAACGACAACCACTCCCAGGAATCACATGTTTTATTTATGGCAAGCCACTTGACATACAAAGGGCGGCTACACTCAGGTCTGGTACCCCAACAAGAACAACTTAAAGGAATCACATGTTTATTTATGGCAAGTCACTTGACATACAGAAGGCTCCTACACACAGGTCTGAGGTCCTGATGCTCCTGAGGTCCAGGTCTCAGTTTTTGTTGAACTTGTTCGTAGAGAAACTAGAAGACTGTATAATAGGAGAAAAGAGACAATTACATAAGATTACAAAATAAAAATACAACTAGAGACAGTAAAAAACACTGGCGCACCTTAAGGAATCAGCTACACAGTTGTTGCTATTAAATTTAACCGGAGTTTATAGCTGTTGAACATGAAGAAGAAGAAGAAGAAGAAGAAGAAGAAGAAGAAGAACAAGAACAAGAACAAGAAGAACAAGGTGAAAAAGAAGAACAAGAAGAAGAAGGAGGAGGAGGAGGAAGACAAACACCAACAACCACAGCAGGGAAAAAAAAACAGCAATAACAACAGGGGGGAAACATGTCATTAAGTACAAGAACGAGAAGAACAAGAGCAAACACAGATGTAGAAGGAGGATGAAGAAAGAGAATATATATTTGCATTCTTATTTTCTTCACCCTTAACCTCCTCCTCCCTCCCCTCCCCCGCACCTCCTCTAACTTTCCTTTAATCTTCATCGTCTAATTTTACAAGTGCAGATTATTATCTGTGAATTGATTCCTCTGGCATTCAGCACACGGCGTGACGTCACAATTTTGTGACAGACAGAAGGCAGAGTCCTGCGTCAGACAGATGGAAGATGTCATCACCGGCGTCCTAGAGACAACCGCGGGAATTACCAGAACCGATCGTCTGCAACAGTTGTGTCTGTGAGTGGATACTTGTCATCTTCATCGTTTAGTTTAGTTTAGTGACCCTGTCATCTGTCTCGGGTATCAGATTGTCTATGACAGGGGTTTTCAACTTTCCTCATGCCGCGACCCTTTTATACAGTATCTTATGTTGTGCCGACCCCCAACCATACAAATATTTTCGTAGCTACTAGAAGAAGAAGAAGAAGAAGAAGAAGAAGAAGAAGAAGAAGAAGAAGAAGAAGAAGAAGAAGAAGAAGAAGACGAAGAAGAAGAAGAAGAAGAAGAAGAAGAAGAAGAAGAAGAAGAAGAAGACGAAGAAGAAGAAGAAGAAGAAGAAGAAGAAGAAGAAGAAGAAGAAGAAGAAGAAGAAGAAGAAGAAGAAGAAGAAGAAGAAGACGAAGACGAAGAAGAAATAATGTCACCAGTAAGTTTTTTTTCTGAGCGGCCTCTCGCTATCGCATCGGATGTTTTTATGTGTAGCGCCTGTACTTGTTGTGAGTGCGTTTTAACGAGACAAAACCATTTTCTCAGTTTCACAACGAATTTGGTTCACGGTGTTGTTCACACACTTCGTCCGATTTTGTGTGTGTATATATATATATATATATATATATATATATATATATATATATATATATATATATATATATATATATATATAACCTGGTCTACATTAACGGCTCTGATAAAGTATCTTATCTCACTGATGATGATTTTGAATAACTGATCCTCTGATACACATGATCCGACGGAATCAGTGGTAAAGTAAATCAAGACTATATCAAGAGACAACATATCAGATGGTTCCGACATTATCAAGGCTAAATTAGAATAGTGCACAAAAGAAAGTCCTGTCCCTTGGACGCAGTGGAAGCAAGCAATGGATAAATAACTTACAAGGCTATGAATTCCAGCATCTATGTAGCAACACACAGCAAGACTCGCGGCACATACCTTCTCACACCTGACGAGAAAGAAGAAGATCTTGTGATATTGTCCAAGCAAAAATACATCCATTTATGTCAATTTCATTGGTGAATTCATTCATTCATTCATTCATTGGTCTGCCGTGCCATTGCGTGCTACATAGCGCTCATAGTCTGTTGCCCTATTCCGCTCTACCCGGTGCATTCACTTCGATAATGGAATCCAGTACATCACTTTTGGCTTCTTTCATTAACATTCAGCTTGAGGTTTTTCGTTGACGTCCTTGTTTTCTGACCGCCCCTATTTCTCATTCAGTGCCTGTTTTATGATTTCTCTGTTCATTTTGTCTCAGAATGTGTCCAATATAGCCCTATCTTGTCTTTTAACTTTTGATACTAAAGTTTGCCCAGACAGAAGTCTTTTTTCTTATTCCCTTTTGAATCTATCCCTTTATATGTTAAAAATTGTCCTCAGGTATTTATGACAATACAGATGGTTTTTTGTTGTTGCTTTCAAGAACTATGAATTATATGTGTTATCATCCATTTTCGTCCTTATTAGGACGAAATTTTTTGTCATTTGAAGCCCTACCCTGGCTTTTGCCAGGGGCCGCAATATAAGCAGGCCATACATATGGCCAAATGTCTGAACGCGGTTTCTGGGACCTCTCCACGGCGATCCTCATCCGCATGGTGGCACTTTGTGTCATCGGGTGTTTATCGCTTGTGTGATGTCCTGGTGGGGTAGAAAGTCAGTCAGTGAACTATGAATTGTTTTCAGAGATATCATCAAGGGAAACAATTTGACCCAGTGCTTCATTGACGCCACCAGCGCGTGCACCGGGGGCGCTGTCATCTCTCCCAATGACGTCATACAGAAATGGGAGAAGATCATGCAAGACCTTTATAATTTATGTGATGGAGGTGAAACCTTTTTATTATCTTGTGACACCAGCACTCTCCCCTCTCTCTCTCTCTCTCTCTCTCTCTCTCTCTCTCTCTCTCTATGTATATATATATATATATATATATATATATATATATATATATATATATATATTATCATCGGGTGCCTTGCCAAATGGCGTGGGCGATCATGCTTCTTCACAATCTGCAATCATGCTTCTTCACAATCTGCAATCTCCAGCAGCATGTATCAGTTCGTGTGCTGACACACCTCCATGCCATGCAACAAGACTGTCAAGAATCTTCACTCGTTGTCTTCCTCTATCCTTCCTTCCACAGATCTTTCCAGTGGTCACAACATGTTCTATTTTCCCTCTTCTTATAACATGGCCGAAAAATGATGACTGTCTCCTTCTGATGTCTGTGATAAGTTGTCTTCGGGCTCTTGGTTGCTCTTTTTGGGCTGTCCAAGGTATTCTAAGCATTCTTCTGTAAAACCACATCTCTGAGTCCTCAAGAAATTATTTGGCCTGCCTACCGATTGTCCAGGATTCACAGCCATATGTTAAAACTGGCTGTATGTAGTAAGGAAGAATTATTTTTCGAAATCTCAATGACAAGGATATATTGCACAAGATGTTCTTCATTTTATAAAATGCAGTTATTGCCACTCCTATTCTGTTTCTAATCACAGTTATGCATCTTCCATCTGATGTTATCCATGTGCCCAGATATTTAAATTTCTTTTCTTGTCCGAAAATAACACCATCGACTTATTATTATATATATATATATATATATATATATATATATATATATATATATATATATATATATATATATATATATATATATATATATATATATATGTATGTATGTATGCATGCATGCATGCATGCATGAATGTATGTATGTATGTATGTATGTATGTATGTATGTATGTATGTATGTATGTATGTATGTATGTATGTATGTATGTATGTATGTATGTATGTATGTATGTATGTATGTATGTATGTATGTATGTATGTATGTATGTATGTATGTATGTATGTATGTATGTATGTATGTATGTATGTATGTATGTATATGTATGTATGTATGTATGTATGTATGTATGTATGTATGTATGTATGTATGTATGTATGTATGTATGTATGTATGTATGTATGTATGTATGTATGTATGTATGTATGTATGTATGTATGTATGTATGTATGTATGTATGTATGTATGTATGTATGTATGTATGTATGTATGTATGTATGTATGTATGTATGTATGTATGTATGTATGTATGTATGTATGTATGTATGTATGTATGTATGTATGTATGTATGTATGTATGTATGTATGTATGTATGTATGTATGTATGTATGTATGTATGTATGTATGTATGTATGTATGTATGTATGTATGTATGTATGTATGTATGTATGTATGTATGTATGTATGTATGTATGTATGTATGTATGTATGTATGTATGTATGTATGTATGTATGTATGTATGTATGTATGTATGTATGTATGTATGTATGTATGTATGTATGTATGTAGTATGTATGTATGTATGTATGTATGTATGTATGTATGTATGTATGTATGTATGTATGTATGTATGTATGTATGTATGTATGTATGTATGTATGTATGTATGTATGTATGTATGTATGTATGTATGTATGTATGTATGTATGTATGTATGTATGTATGTATGTATGTATGTATGTATGTATGTATGTATGTATGTATGTATGGCTTATGTATGTATGTATGTATGTATGTATGTATGTATGTATGTATGTATGTATGTATGTATGTATGTATGTATGTATGTATGTATGTATGTATGTATGTATGTATGTATGTATGTATGTATGTATGTATGTATGTATGTATGTATGTATGTATGTATGTATGTATGTATGTATGTATGTATGTATGTATGTATGTATGTATGTTGTATGTATGTATGTATGTATGTATGTATGTATGTATGTATGTATGTATGTATGTATGTATGTATGTATGTATGTATGTATGTATGTATGTATGTATGTATGTATGTATGTATGTATGTATGTATGTATGTATGTATGTATGTATGTATGTATGTATGTATGTATGTATGTATGTATGTATGTATGTATGTATGTATGTATGTATGTATGTATGTATGTATGTATCTATGTATGTATGTGTATGTGTATGTATATGTGTGTGTATGTATGTATTTATGTAAGTATGTATGAATGCAAACATGTATATGTATAATCAGTCAGTCATCCTCAACTACATCTCTCGACAGCCTGTCCCAACTTTCTAGAGAGGACAGTCAACATAACACAGTGCACAGGCATGATCCGTTTTGATGCTCTCTACGATTCCTCATACCAGGTATTTTGCAGGTACGTAATCGGAATCCATGGTCTTACCATCAATAATACTGTGCTGGTTTATTCCCACTGTAGTGGTAGAATTATATATTACATAGATTATATTGTATATAGAAATAGTCTGGTATTTTTTAAAAAGAAAACGAGAACGTATACAAACCAGTTTATTCACCAGTTTTTTATATGCAACATTGAGGAACATTTCATTTGATTCGCACTAGCACAGGAACGGAGCAAGTACGGGGAAACCCGACTGCGGTTATGTTGAAACCTCGACTTACTTAATAACTGACTTGTTATTTTTATACCTTTAATTGTAAACTTTGTCGAAAGCGTATGCTTTATGTTTCCTGTAGCTCACTGAACGCTAGCCTACAGTGTGTGAGCCAAACATCAGAACAATGCCCACAGTTCAGCAACCTCTTCTATGACCTTCTACCAGACGGTATGAACCAGACGGCTTCCACTGTCTGCACAGGGGGTAAGCATCTGGGTCATTATCGTCATCAGCATAGTCATCGTTATCATCATCACCTTTATCATCAGCAAGAACATCATCATCATTATCATTGTCGTCACCGTCGTCATCAGAATAGTCATCATTATCATCATCACCCTCAACAACAACATATAATATAATCAGAACTCAACGAAGAATGTTCGCTTGTCTAATCAAAATGAAACTGTCTATTCCATCCTTGTTTGCATGCCAAGTCCACTATTACCTTATGCCTAATATACTACACTTTCCTACATAATTTTTTTAAATCCTGTATTTGTTTGGTTGTCTAGTCAAATTTTGCTCCACGTTTCACCCCTCCAGGATTTGAGTATGGAGGATTACCATCCTAAATCTCAAATCCAGGAAACTCCATCCAACCATGTAGCCATAAAGCAGTTATACTGGGACACCATACAAAGTTACGAAGTAACCTGTAGTCTAATATAGGTGTGAATGTCGAGTCAGCTTCCGACATGTGGCTGTTATAATACATTTTCCCCCACATACTGTCTGATTGCTAACTACCAACATGTGCCTGATGTAAGACACTTTCCTACTCAAACTTTCCTAATACTTACTTTGTTTACTTGTCTAGTCAACTACTAACATCTTCTTCTCTTCTTCTCTTCCACCTTGTACCTCATCGAAGTGTCGGGGGGAGATGTAACGTTCGTTGATGAGCTCTGTCAAGAGCACTATCAAGACTGATGTTCAATTCTGTAAGCCTGTTCTGAATGCCATCACTCCATATTTTGAGAGGTCTTCCACTCGCTCTATACCCGTTGTAACGTTTTAGTGTGGCTTCGCTGTGGCAGATAGTAACAGGGTATTCTTGTTAGGTGTCCAAACCACTTTATTTGTTGTTCTTTGATGACCTGTAAGACTCGCTTTATTTATAGCATTCGTCTGATTTCGTGATTTCGTATTCCTTTCTTGAAACTCCTGAAGTTCTTCTAAGATATTTCGTCTCTGTTGTCACAATTTTACGTTCATTGAAGGATGTAAGTGTTCACGTTTGACACTGATAGCATAGTGTTGAGCAAAAAAAAAAAGTAGCTCTGACAAGATCCACTTTAGTACTCCAGGGTATCTGCTTGTGTGTCAACAAGGGAGATAGTTGCCTCATTACTTAATTAGCTTTGGCACATCTAGAGCTAATTTCTCTGTCCAGTTTTCCGTCGGATGTAAAAATTGCCCCTAAGTACTTAAATTCGTCTGTTTGTCTTAAAGTGTTGTTTTTTTAAACTTTATTTCTAAATTGTCTTTCCATCTTCCTATCACCATTGTCTCTGTCTTCGTAGTATTTATATTCCTATTATATAGCGTTGTTTGCTTGTCAGTCAACTTCCAACGTCTGGCTACTATTCCAGGATGTGACAACTTTGACTCGGCGCTGAGTAAGCTGGAAACTTGCAAGAAATTCGTCACTGATTTACCCGATGACCTGCACCAGGCTTGTCAGTAAGTTGTCTCTCTCTTGACTACATTGTTATTGTTAGTAACACAGTATTTTAATGGCGAGAAGTGAATGTAGGGACGGTGGTCACCCCTTACACTTTACATTCCAAAGGACAATTGCATTATTTTACATTTATTATTACTCTTTGCTAATTAATTATTACAAATACGCCACTTAGTTTACGTTTGGAACATATTAAAAGAACGATCGCTGCATTCTTATGCCATATAGAAATTGCAACGCCTGAAAGCTAACGGTTACTAATCTTACGATGCTAGCTGCTCACCGTTTTTCAAAGCAACGGATCGACGAGGAGAAAAATAATCACATGATAACCTTTCCATTGTATAGGTTACCTGCTAATGTTTACATTAGTACGAATTTGTCACGTCTCACTACTAAAGTTTCTGCATATTAAGCCGTCTGCTGTGGGAAAAAAGAGCATCGTTGATATTCCCTATATGTGATGATGTCTGTTCATAAATCAGTAATCAGATTGGACTGAGTCCGCCCCAATGGGTGGTAAATGTGATACACGACAAGGCTTTAGTGCTCAAACCCTCCGGCAGGGCATGGACAACCACTAAGAGCCCACTACTGTCTGGGGAAAAAAAACGTTGCTCCATGTGTGGGTTACGAAAAAAGATAAATCCAAAAGAGAAAAAAAAGAAGAAGAAGAAGAAGAAGAAGAAGAAAAAGAAGAAGAAGAAGAGGAAGAAAAAGAAGAAGAAAAAGAAAAGTAGTAGTAGTAAGAAGAAGAAGAGAAGAAGAGAAGAAGAAGAAGAAGAAGAAGAAGAAGAAGAAGAAGAAGAAGAAGAGTAAGAAGAGAAGAAAGAAGAAGAAGAAGAAGGGGAAGAAAGAAGAAGAAGAAACCCAAACGAAGAAACTTCAGAAGTAAGGATCTTTGAGAAGAAGAAGAAGTAAAAGAAGAACAACAGATGAAGAAGAGTGAAGTTATAGAAGAAGAAGTAGAGAGGAAGAGGGATAAGATGGAGGAGGAGGTAGAAGAAGAAGAAGAGGTAGAAGAAAAAATAGAGAAGAAGAAGAAGAAGAAGAAGAAGAAGAAAAAGAAGCACAAGAAGAAGAAGAAGAAGAAGAAGAAGAAGAGAGAAGAACAGAAGAAGAAGAAGAAGATACAGAAGAAGAAGAAGAAGAAGAAGAAGAAGAAGAAAAGAAGAAGAAGGAAGAAGAAGAAGAAGAAGAAGAAAGAAGAAGAAGAAAAGAAGAAGCAGAAGAAGAAGAAGAAAGAAGAAGAAGAAGAAGAAGAAGAAGAAGAAAAAAATATGTTTGCAAAACTGAAGTAACAGGTGATCTGACTGGCTCGGAAGCACTTACCCGGAGCCCACACTAGGAACTTTAGAGTAAGTATCTTGCAGAATTTGATGAGGTCGGATGGCACAACAGAAGAGAGAGTGAATGTTTATCAAACCCGGCATAAGATGGGTTAAGGTAATGGAAAAATGCGGTAGAAGACGTAGAGAAAAATATACAGTTTATACAAACCCGTCACAATGTGATGGGTGAGCCCGGATGGCACTTACATATACAATGTATACAAAGCCGGCACACTGTGTTTAGTCGGATGGCACTTACATATTCAATGTTTGCAAACCCGGCACAATGTGATGAGTCAGACGGCACTTACTTATACAATGTATACAAACCCGGCACAATGTGATGAGTCAGATGGCACTTACATATACATTGTTTACAAACCCGGCACAATGTGATGAGTCGGATGGCACTTACATAAACAATGTTTACAAACCCGACACACTGTGGTCAGTCGGATGGTATTGCTACAGTTACTGTAATAACTACCAATATTTACCACGTTTACGGGCGGTGTAAGTAATCTGGGGGGGGGGGGGGGGGGCACTTAACCCACTTTACATTTCTGGTTTGGCCAGCAAGAAGGTCTCAGCTCCCCATCAAGAGACATTTTGTGGTAGGAGATTGGGGGAATGGGCTCGATGGACCTCAGCTCCCAAGTCTCAACCAGCGCCTATGTATAGCTGTCAACATCTATGAGTAAATTTTGTTTTGTTGTGTTTGTTTCTTTGTTTGACAGGTTAGTTCTAAAGTTATATTTCAAAACTCAGTAAGTAAACAAAGTGATAATATTTTCATTGTCGGTGACTGCTATCAGATCGTACGAAAATTTCAAGACTTGCATTAAGATGACTGAAGCACAGATGACCTGTCCTATGTTCGGCTCCCTCATGGAAGTCTTGTACCCACAACACATCTTTGGCTTGTACGAGCTGAATTGCAACAAAAGTCAACAGATTAATGATACTGCAGGTAGGAATGGTTTGTTTCGTAAAAGAATGAATAAATGAATTGTTTCTTTAGTTCATCTTAAGGAGTCTCCGAGGCCTTTTTAAAAGGTCAGCTGTTTACCCCACTCTAAAAGTAGGTTCGTTCGAAGGATGAAGTCGTTCCATTCACTGTGAAGTTTTTCCAGAGATCACTGGGGTGTTACCAGAGTCACATTTTGAACATCTTTTACTAAACTCATGCACAGATAGCACAATGTGAGAATGACATTCATATAATAATCTGAAGTGTAACACTTACAAAATACGCAATATTCAGTAGTCAAAAGAATTATTTAGACAAACTGAAATATCCACTTTCTGAAGGAATTCCTTCCCCCTCCCCCTTTTTCACCCCTTTTCTACCTTAACCACTCCATCCGCACTTTTTTCCTTTAGTAAATGAAAATAAATTTGCTTGTTGCAGCTTTTGATTCTGCTGCTGCTGCTACTACTACTACTACAACAACAACAACTACTACTACTACTACTACTACTACTACTACTACTACTACTACTACTACTACTACTACTACTACTACTACTACTACTACTACTACTACTACTACTACTACTACTACTACTACTACTACTACTACTTCTTCTTCTTCTTCTACTACTACTACTACTACTACTGCTGCTGCTGTTGCTATACTACCAACAGTACATGTTACTACCAAATAAATATGCAGATCATTTCCCTGAAAACAAGACCCACCCTCAGCCCCTTTCCTGTTGATAACAGACAGGAACTGGTAGGTAGATTACAGTATGCCTGATTTCTTATAAACATGCATGTGTGCATTTATGTATTTATGAACGATTATTGCTGCAACAGCAGCAGCGAAACAGGAAAGTGATTGATAAGAATTGACGAACGGAAAAAAATCAATTACGAAACGAAAATAATCAAAGTGGGAAGAGTGGAGTAGGAGGAGAGAACAAGATGGAGGACGAATTGGAGGAGGACGAGAACGGGAAGGAGGAGGACGAGTAGAAGAAGAAGAACGAGGAGGAGGTGTTGGTAGTAGAGGTGGAGGAGCAGAAGAATGGATATTTCCATAAGCGTTTACACATCAATGACGTATCATCATTTTCTTTGTAAATTTGATTGTCTAGCTCGACGTTTCCCAGAAATGTATTTTTTCTCATGATCAAACTAAATCTATCGTTGAATACAATTTACATGTTTTTTTTTTTTTTTTACCGTTGTCTTTTTAAACAGACAAATGCGGCCAAATCGGTTTAGCTCGCATTGATCACTGTGTGAGAATCTTTTTTTTGGCCTGGCCTGCAAACCCAAATCGGAAAGTTCCAACAAAACAACAGTGCAAGTAAGGGATACATTGTTCCAATGTTTGTGATTGTCTTATCTGTTAATTATTTAAAGTAATACCGTATTTCCCAGAAAATAAGGCCTAGTCTTATATTATTTCTTTGTTCGAAAGATGCACTAGGGCTTATGTTCAGGGGATGTCTTATTTTCTAAGGGGGGAAAAAAAGGCGCTCTCGTGACTTTTTTCCAACTACATTAGATGTTATCAATGTTTAGATACTTAAATGTATATATTTGTGATAAAATAACGCCTTTGTCTTTTGCTATACAGTGAAACACTAGTCTTTTCCTCGATACTACCACTGCTTCTGTTTTCCCACTTTCCGCTACCAACATAGGGAGTCGCCGTGGCCGAGCTGCTAGACGCTCGCTACGGATCGGAAGGTCGTGGGTTCGCTTCCTGGCGGAGCCGGACTTTTTTCAAAAATGATCTTAGCTCCCAGGTTGACCCAAACTTGAGTGGGTACTGGGTGCAGTCCCGGAAAGTAGAGGCGGCCGTCGTGATGGTGACCACATCACCCATCTTGTGCCGATTGGTCTATATAATATAGATCTAGCCCATACATATACCGCTAAAGGTGTGGAGAAGGATCCTTTACTTTTTACTACCAACATAACTATCAATTAGTTCAACAGTTGTCTCTCACTTGTCGACATCAAGATGGTGTCATCAGCATAACGTACTCTATTTATGTTATGACCACCAACCACAATTTGTGATATATCCATGACAGATCTAATTACATATAATTCGTGTAATGAAAACAAATCAGGAAACAGAACACATCATTATCTCACGCCCTCCCTTGTGCCATGGAATGTTCGAAAATAGTTGTTAATTCTTATAGCGACGTTTACTGCCATTGCATATTCATTATTTGTGCATATTTTCTATTATTGTTTAAATTTGGTAGTAGTGTCATTATTTTTTCTCACGTTAGTCAAATACTTGTATATAGTCATTGAAGCATTCGTACAGATCCGCCTTTATTTCCATAGCCCTTTCCGACAGAATCTTTAGGGTTTATTATCACTGTATGTACCTTCTCCTTCTACAAATCCATATTTTTGTGTCACTAAATTCTAGAACTTCTAAAACAGTTCACATTGTTATAAGAGAACACTTTATCGCCCAGGGACTACATGACTGGTACGAGATGTCTGCAGAAGGCGGGGTTTGACGAATGCGCATCTTTGAGGCAATACTTCCGTTCCAAGACAGAAGGCAAGCAGAAACAAACACAGATGATGCAGGAAAAGTGCCCTCGTATCAGCGAGGGGTCAGTGCGCGGTAAGTTATCAGCTGCTTATCTATCAGTGAAGGGTCAGTGCGCGGGAATTTATCAATTGATCAATCACAAAATGAAGTCAGTGCGCGGTAAGTTATCAATCGCTCATCTATCAGTGAAGGGTCAGTGCGCGGTAAGTTATCAATCGCTCATCTATCAGTGAAGGGTCAGTGCGCGGTAAGTTATGAATTGCTCATCTATAAGCGATGGGTCAGTGTGCGGTAAGTTAGCAGTTGCCCATCTATCGGCGAAGGGTCAGTGCGCGGTAAGTTATCAGTTGCCCATCTATCGGCGAAGGGTCACTGCGCGGTAAGTTATCAGTTGCTCATCTATCAGCGAGTGGTCAGTGCGCGGTAAGTTATCAGTTGCCAATTTATCAGCGAAGGGTCAGTGCGCATTAAGTTTTCAGTTGCCAATTTATCAGCGAAGGGTCTGTGCGCGGTAAGTTATCAGTTGCTCATCTATCAGCGAAGGGTCAGTATGCGGTAAGTGATCAGTTGCCAATTAATCAGCGAAGGGTCAGTGCGCGGCAAGTTATCTGTTGCCCATCTATCAGCGAAGGGTCTGTGCGCGGTAAGTTATCAGTTGCTCATCTATCAGCGAAGGGTCAGTGTGCGGTAAGTGATCAGTTGCCAATTAATCAGCGAAGGGTCAGTGTGCGGTAAGTTATCAGTTGCTAATTAATCAGCGAAGGGTCAGTGCGCGGAAAGTTATCTGTTGCCCATCTATCAGCGAAGGGTCAGTGCGCGGTAAGTTATCGATCTTTACTCATCTTTTATTGTCATACCTCCACTCCCACTGGACAGAAAGTTATCTTGTCATTTGCAGGGTGCCCTCTAATTCTCTTCTGCTTGTTTGTAAGGTTGTCTGGTAATCACAGTTCCAACTTCATAGCAAACCATTCACCCCAACAGTTGCTTAGTTCCAATAGCAACGAAAACTACACAGTGTTCATCACATTCACTGGTAAATACAATTTTGAGAAAAAAAAATTTGAATTTTTTTTTTTTTTAAATTAAATAAAATAAAAACATTATCACAGACTGCAGTGGATAAGTAATCTAACAGCATACACACTTATTAAATGCATGAAATGGCCACCAGAAGTGCCAACACGAACAGTACGACGCGAGAAATGCAGTTCATCGCTGATGGAAGCAGAAATTATAACAGTTCAGCAGTTGCACACGCGGTTTATCGCATAAGTCACAATCACTTCTGTGCCACTCGTAATTTCTGAATCAACACTTTCCAACACAAACGACGTTGAGCATTGAAATTCTCAGCTAACAATGTCGCGAATTGTTCTCAGTTCAGAAGGTGGGCGACAGAACTATATCCTTTCAGTCTACATAAGGAGAAAAATGCAACGATTGACCATTGTCAGAAGCAAAAACTTGCCACAACTAAAAACAGCATACATTCTATTCCGCCATATTGACAGGAAGCCGCTATTTTGTCAATACGTACTTTGTGCCACAAGACGTAGCAGTTTAGATAGCAAAGCTAAGAGACGTACGGCTCCTGGGTGCGATGTGCTGTTATAAAGTCTGAGGCTGTTATTGATTCCGATCCATCTTCTTCTATATCTCCCGCTCCCTGCTTTGATTTCCATGATGTATGCTTTCACTGTCAGCATCGTTAGATTTATGTGCCCTACTATAGCTGTTGTACTGCTTAACGGGGTTTTTGACATTTAGTCCTTTTGCGTTCTCATCCAAATAGTGACTCTTTGAGTCACTGGGTGTCAGTCATTCAGACTCCAATCCCAAACAGGAAACAAGCATGCAACCGTCAGAAAAGCTTGTCATTTTGGTTCATTGAAGATTATCACCGTCGTCAAAATGATCATTATCGTCATCATTATTATTGTCATCATCATCATCATCTGCCCTATCACTTCCAAATAACAGTAAACGGCCATGGTTAGTCATGGCAAATGATCATCAAATTCACTAGTTAGGTAAGTTCTCTTGCCATGAAGTCAAGCTATCTGGGCAATTCTCTTTAGTCTTCCTGTTATCTCCCTCCCCCTCAGCCTTTCCAGATGTCACCAAGTTCTATATATTGAATATATGTATATGTTGCTGCCTGTCTGCTGCTGTTCTGTCTTTGAATGTCAGTTTACATTCCTTTATTTCTCTGTCCACTGACCTTCTGAGCTTTATCTTTGGTCTTCATACCAGAGTGGCACTGTGTATTCTGCTCGCGTGTTCTTCTCCATTTTCATAACATTTTAAAAACGTTTGGCAAGAAAAACATCGGTGCAGGTCAAACTTTACTGGTCGCTGAGTGAACTACAAAGGACAGTGAGTGCATACTAGAGACAACATTGCAGATATAGATCATTTATTTCCATCAAACGAAAGAAGAAGAATATGAATAACATAAATTAACATAAGATAACGTAACTGTGTGTCTGCTGTTGCTGAAGTATTGACCTCTGCTCTCCACAGGAAGTGCTCACAGAAATCAACTGGCAGTGATGTCCCTTCTGGTTCTTATAGCTAACATTTACATTAATCTTCGTTCTTAAATGTTGTCTGATATAGATATATGATATAACGCTTAACTACAAAGCCACTTAACTACAATTGTGGGCGATTTTCACCTAAATGCATTTTTTAAAGGGTTGTTATTTATTACTTTATGCTAAAGACATACATGTAAATCATTACTTTTAATAGGATAAAATGAAATGTTACTTTTTCACGGAATTGCACATTTGTCACAGAAATATCAACGTTGGAAGACAATTTTCTCGAAGCAGTGATGAAGCACATAGGTGGCCCTTATCATCATCATCCTCATCATCATAATGTGCCGTGCCGATAACTGTAGGCCATCATGTTTCGCCAGCACACACAATCACGCAAATCACAGATCAGTTCAATGATTTAGTCTGACCCTAACCATCTGGCCAAATCGTCCAGGTATTTATCTCTCTGCCTTCCTCTAGCTCTATTTCCGTCAATCGTGCAAGTTTTTATCAAGTTTTCGAGTCCGTTCTTCATAAAATGTCCAAAAACAGTGATTTTGTCATGGTGCAAATATTTACATTAATGACATTACTATGATTTACACGTGGAAGAAATACTGTAACATAAAAGGAAAAAAGTGACTTACGAGGATAGGCTATTGTGATATAACAATATTATTATGTAAGGTTCTGGGTGACGTTATCATTATCTCTCCTGATGTTAGCATCATCATGTCAATCATTATCACGTTATCATTATTATCCTCATCATCATCCTTGTCGTCGTCGCCGGTGTTATCATCACATCATTGTCATCATCATCGCCATTATAATCTTAATAAATATCATCCAATGCTTTACCATTTGCTGTAGGACACTGGTTCTCAACATTGCTAATGCGGCGACGCTTTAATACAGTTCTTGATGTTGTGGCGACCCTTTAATACAGTTCTTGATGTTGTGGCGACCCTTTAATACAGTTCTTGATGTTGTGGCGACCCTTTAATACAGTTCTTGATGTTGTGGCGACCCTTTAATACAGTTCTTGATGTTGTGGCGACCCTTTAATGCAGTTCCTTATGTTGTGGCGTCCCTTTAATACAGTTCTTCATGTTGTAGCGACCCTTTAATACAGTTCTTGATGTTGTGGCGACCCTTTAATACAGTTCTTGATGTTGTGGCGACCCTTTAATACAGTTCTTGATGTTTTGGCGACCTTTTAATACAGTCTCTTATGTTGTGGCGACCCTTTAATACAGTTCTTTATGTTGTAGCGACCCTTTAATACAGTTCTTGATGTTGTGGCGACCCTTTAATACAGTTCTTCATGTTGTAGCGACCCTTTAATACAGTTCTTCATGTTGTAGCGACCCTTTAAAACAGTTCTTTATGTTGTGGCGACCCTTTAATACAGTTCTTTATGTTGTGGCAACCCCCAGCCACACTTTTATCTTCGTTACTTCTTTATAACGACAATGAATATGTGTTTTGCAATGGACTTTGGCGATCCCTGTGAAGGGATTGTTCGATGCCCCAAAAAAGTGTTGCACACCAGCATGCATTTGCACAAATATGAAACTGATATGTGTCAGTCCTGACCGCTGTGAGACTTCAACCAATGTCTTCGGATGCAGCACTTCAGTGTCTTCCTGAGAGTACTCATTGAGTCACTGCAAAAAAATATGTACCGGAAGAAGTCTCTGTCTCCAGCTATGTTATTGCTTTGGTCACTGTCACCCTTCACTTTACGGTCCTTCCTCGCACAGATTGGGATGTTGCAATCTCAAGATAGTATGGTAAACCTTCAGCTGACAGTCAGAAAGGGACCAATCGATCTATTGATTCATAGGAACGAGGGATTAGCTGGTTTGTGACGTTCAATCTGTGAAAATGTAAGCCTAATTATTTTTCCAAGATTTATTTCTTTTTGAAAGATTGTGGAATTATTTTGAAACAGGATTAAAGTCAAGATACCAGCTTATTTCATCGTCATTGCAATATGTTTATGTATGGGATATATATATATATATATATATATATATATATATATATATATATATATATATATATATATATATATGGACACACACATATATATGTGTGTGTGTACACATACACGCAAACATCGAGAGGCAGAGATAAAGAGACTGAAACATAGACAGCAAGAAAGACAGGCAGGCAGAAGGGGACAAAGGAAATAAGAGATAGAGAGATACCAATTAATAAAAGACTCATTAAAAATAATTGTAAAAACAGAAAAAGAGTTTACTGCTAAAAAAAAAAAGAAAAAACATAAAAAGTCAATAATTTTGTTTTTTAAAGTTGAAAAAGAAAAGAAAAAGAAAACGAATAAAAGCCAACCGAACACAGACATAGTCCGAAAATTCAACATTGAATATTATTATAATCTTTATTAATGATAGTTATTCCTCAATTTCCATTTCTGTCGTTAAGCGTCCGAGAAGGAACAGTTAGCGATCCATTGCTTGAGGAGTGACAATGGTTATTAGCATTCCATGTCGA